GGGACACAAACTAGCACCCATATAGAGTGCCAGCACTGTATATCAGAACATTAGCTAGTTCAGATATCAATCACATTGGCCCCTAATTATAGTCTCTTTATAGAGTTTTCATATATATTGTCATAACATATATTTAATGTTAGTAGTAGATAAAATGAAGTAAACATGTTTAAAATGAGATGAAACAAGACAAATGTTCACCCAATATCCTATATTTAAGAACACCTAATTTCCAGCGACATTCAGACACAAACACACTGACAACCAGCTTAATGATGAATTAAAAATACAATATACAATAAAGCAATTCTTATGAAAATAAAAATGTATGTTAATTTTCATAAAAGTTGCTGTCATTTACAGAGGTTTTCTTGTTGCTTTTTCCTCACTAAATATTGCTTCAGTGCCTGTCATATCAACACCTAGTCTGTATCAGCAATGCTGTTTAATAAGGTATAACTAAAAATGAAAGTTCTAACATACTCCATTTCAAAATCCATCAGGTTTGAATTTATAAAAGATTATTATATACTGTTAGTGAGCATTAATTTAAAAAATCACTCCCTGTTACTCAATTAGCAAAGACTATTTTCTGGAGTCTGGCACAGTAGCCTAGTGGCTAAAGTTCTTGCCTTGAACACCTGGGATCCCATATGGTCACCAGTTCTAATCCCAGCAGCTCTGCTTCCCATCCAGCTCCCTGTTTGTGGCCCGGGAAAGCAGTAGAGGACGGCCCAATGCTTTGGGACCCTGCACCCGCGTGGGAGACCTGGAAGAGGCTCCTCCTGGCTTCTGGTTTCAGAAACCAGTGGATGGAAGATGTTCCTCATTGTCTCTTCTCATCTCGATATATACGACTTCTCAATTAAAAAATAAATAAATAATTTTAAAAACATATTCTTTTCTTAAACTTGTTCATGAGATCATAGTCAAATGTCACTATTCTGATCAAAATAAAACTTATGAAATTATAAGGTACACAAACTTGCATTTCAAAGGACATTTGAGAATAAAACGGGGAAAGAAGAATTAAATGAGAATGTTGTAACTAGAAATGAGTTTTTTTGTTGTTGTTGCTGTTGAATCTCATGAAAAATTTCTTGTCTGAATGTTCTTTGAAGTTGAACACTTTTTCTTCCAAAAACAGGCTCCTATAATTAGCTATTTCCACTTTAGTAGTGACCTTTTTTTTCACCTTATGTTAAATTACAAAAAATGTGAGGCCATTTGTGAGATAAAAGGTTTATTCGAACCAGTTCTCTGACCTGTACATCAGAGGTTTAGCAATCATAAACCCACAAAGAAAAACCCTTGGAGCATTTTCAAGGCTATGCAAGAATTCATTTCCTTTCCTGTGGGAAGAGACAGGATTTTTTTCTCATTTATACTCTGGAAACTTATTATAGAATGTCTTAGGTGTTGAAGAAGAATAGAAAAAAATTAGCATGATCTAGAAAAGCATGCCTGTCAAATTTAGAAAAAAATGCATAATAAAGTACAGTCAGGCAGATGAACATGCATGTGGTTGTATGCACACACACTAAGGTTACATAGCAGATAGGCAAATGGGTACGTACTGACACACATTTAGTGAATGTGCTGGAATTCTGCCATTCACTAGATTTTTCATCTCGGGCAATTGACCTAATCCCTCAATTTCAACATCCATAAAATTGAATAAAGTCCTTTTTGTCAGGGAAACATTTATGAAAGATAGTGTTTGACAGTAAATATTTAACAACCTTTGTTAATATCGCTGTAGCAGTTAATATTATGGCAGCCAGTTACCATCTTCAGCACAGCTGAGAATCTCAGCAGAATTGTATTGTCTTTACATAGTCATATGGTGCTGCTTAGAGTTGTTTGTTACTTTGCTTTTTAGTTTTTCCATGTCTGGTTTTATTTTCATGGAAAGGTGTTGGAACTTCTAAATTTGTTTCACCTACTTTTCCATGTTCCGCAAGGTGATTACCAGCTTCTTTAAAAGAATTTTCTTTACTCACAGGAAAAATATACTGAAGAACAATTTAAGTGAATTTAATTGGATTTGCTATACTTTGTTGATCCTTTGAGCAAAAATATCTTTCCCCAAGTAACTGACCTTTTAACTAATAAATTCACAATGCAAATAAATGTAGTGAGGGCAATTGTGGAAATTCAAATGCAAAATTGTATTTCTAAATCACTTACCAAAGTTCTTATTTGAAGTCCCACATTCAGATATATATATATCCTATAAAATGCTCATTTGTTTGCTAAGATGCTTGTGTCTGTATTTTTTTACTTGATTCCATAGATGAAAATTAAATCAGATAAATATTGTGACAAATAAGGAAAGAGAACTGTAATCTTACTTAAAATGAAGTTAATGAAAACGTTTAATATAAGATAATCCCATTTTAGTTTCTCATACAAGAAGGTTTGAAATCCTGTTATCAATAGATGAACATTTTATTTTTATTGGAAAGGCAGATATACAGAGAGGAGAGACAGAGAGGAAGATCTTCCGTCCGATGATTCACTCCCCAAGTGAGCACAATGGGCCGATACTATGCCGATCCGAAGCCAGGAGCCTCTTCCGGGTCTCCCACGTGGGTGCAGGGTCCCAAAGCTTTGGGCCGTCCTCGACTGCTTTCCCAGGCCACAGGCAGGGAGCTGGAAGGGAAGCGGGGCTGCCGGGATTAGAACCGGCGCCCACATGGGATCCTGGGCATGCAAGGTGAGGACCTTAACCACTGCGCCACCACGCCGGGCCCAGATGAACATATTTTTGAAAATAATTTCTAATGTAAGTTTGGAAGTAGAGAAGAAAATTCAGTGTTTAACTGTTGCAGATTTGTTTTTTAAAGAAAGTATGCCATGGAAACATTCAACTGTCTGTGTAGGCAAATGTCATTAATATGCAGCCTGACCTAATTCCCACAAGCTCAAAGTACAACAGCATTTATTGTCACATTTAACATTTTTTCCCCTACTTCCCATGGGGTCATGGGCAAATCAGTTAAATCATTACTGCCATGACTGTTAGCATTGCGTTCCAACTTTGTTGTCTCATCTACAAATTAGAAATCTGAATCAGGGTCTGGGGAAGTTAAAAAAAGGTAGTCATTACCCAAATGAGAATTGTATTATCATCAACAATATAGTCTATGACTGTGATGATACCAATCAAAAGTATATCTATTACTAGTAATTGTCAGTGTCAACAAATACCCTAAGTTTCTGGTCTTCACTGACAAAATAGAAAATAGCCCATTATTTTAGATAACCACACAGTATCAATAATAGCACTGACTGAAGTTCTCTCCATGATTTAGAATTGAATCTTTAGCTATATATTGCATATAAAATATAACTGCATTACTTATGTCATACACAAGTAAATTTAACTTTGTAATTTATGATGTAATGAAATTACACGGGGTTGGAAAACAAGTTGCTTTCTTATTTAAATTGTTTTCAAAAGCTAAATATGTACTCTTTTCTGTGCTTGTTTCAAGTCATATATTCTATTTTCTCTCTTTAAATTATTTTGAGACCATATAACCATTCAGTACACTGAAGTATTTTAAAATTTAAGGGTGAACGTATATGGTGTCTGGGGACTATTAGGAATTCAGTGCCTGCAACTAGCTGCCTCCCTCTTACTGATCTGAGAGCAGAAAAGAGACAGTTGTTCCGGGTACTGCGCTCCAAGGGAGCAATGCTTTTCCTGGCAATGGCCAGTGAGAGCATCAATCAGCAGTTCTCTAAGAGTAAAGTAACCAAGGTCCTGTTTTAAAGGAATGGAGATGTACACACATACCACCTTAACCCATGAGGTTAGTCTTCCTGCTAGGGATACTGTAGACCAAAGTGCCTGTGTCCCACTGATGTCTGTTATAAAAAGAAGTAGAGAAATCATCTCACCACAGCATGTGCTAAGCCATGGTCAGTTGCAAGACAGCCCATTGTGTAGTATGACATTATAGTGCTTTATGTTCGGAGGTTTTTTTTGTCCTGCTGTGCTGGCAGAGAACAGGTACAAACAGCATGTAATGGAAACAGCAGTGTGAAGACACGCACACACAGCAGTCCTTGGCAGGCTTTGGGGTACCATAGGGAGGAAGAAAGACATGGGTTAATCAGGAGCTGCTCTCTGGGGAAGATTGCCTGATCCCTGACTGACGCCTGACATTGATTAATCGATATTCTAGCCTAGTGTTTAACAAGTGTACCATCCAGAAAGTCCTCTGTAATATTTAACTTTACTTCCTGCTGCGCTGTTATGTGCATTTCTTTTCTTTTCTCTATCAGCGTGCTAGTCAGCAGCCAGTACGTAACACTTTATATCCATATATCTAAACGGATTTTGTTTCAGCATGCTTTAATCCTCTCCAGGCTAAAGTAAAATAAACAACCCCCAGATTAATTTTATCATTCCTCAAAAGGCCTATTTAATTGGACTGCTTAATAAATAATAAGCTTTTATACTGTGATTTAAGTGTTTATTCTTTGGAAAGGAACTGAATAATTTCATTAGTGATGTGGAAAGAATTATTACATGTCTGTTTCAAAACAAAATTTCAGATCGAAAGCCTGAAATGAAGTCCTGTAACACCAAAAGTTTGTAAACTAAAATGAACATTAGGACTATTATTGGAATACTTAAAGCTAATAATACTGGTGTATACTTGCATTAATTATATTAACAAACCTTATATTTTATTCTAGCAATATACATTTTTGACAAATCACAAACCAAAGGCTGTGTTTCGATGTAATAATAATAGTAGTAATAATATAATTTGACATGATTATGAATTTGTTTTTTAAATGTGGTATATTTGAAAGAAACCTCTATTTCTTTTCTCAGTAGCAGAAGCTACTTTTTTGTGCTCCTATATACCGTGTAGAAATTGATCTGGAATACATGTGGAGTCTCCAAGGGCATATTTAAATGTAGTAATTTTATTGCAAACTGTGAAGTTAATCTGCACTGTATGGGTTCTTTTCCCCAGGAAACTGAAGTAGCAGTTCAAGCTAAGCAACCGGATGTGGAAAGAATTTTGTCTAAAGGGCAGCATTTGTACAAAGAAAAACCAGCCACTCAGCCGCTGAAGGTAATGAAGCAACCTCCAGCAATATCCATTACCTCATAATGGGTTACGCTTCCCCTATTGTACATTTGCCATTGATGTGGTCTATTTATAATTGATGAAATAACTTAAGGAAATATTGGCCATCCTGCAAGAGCTGAGGCAAAGCTGTCTTTTTGATCCATATATCCTATTTATATATTGTGATCTTAAAGCTATTAACAAGTCATTGCATTAAAGGAGTCATTTCTGTCCTGTGTGCTGCCATCAGTACAAAGAAGTAGTCCCACCTTCAAGGAAGATTAAATTCTTTGGAGCTTTATTGCTTTGCTTGCCAGCCTTGATGCTTTTCATATTGTTTGGCTTCATTCAAATGAAGCTACTGCATCATACAGTCTGTCTCCAACAGCTGTAAAGAATCACAATATGGCCCGTGACCTTTCTTTCCTCTGTTGCTCTTTCCTATGAAAGGAGAAAATCAGCATTCAGTATTCACTACTTTATTGGGTCAAGAATTTTTAGCAAAATGTCATGTAATTGCTTCTCTCTTTGATAAAAAGCTGGCCTGGGAGAAAGCTTTCTACTTCTTTCCCTTCTTGGTGTACATTTTGAAGTCTAGGGCACATTTATTCACAGGCTATTACATGAGGAGAGAAATGAAATGCCCAGTCAGTTTTCACAAAACAGCTAATCAATGGCTTCCATTCGCAAATGAGAGCCCAGTGATAAATAGATGTTAGGTATATGTTACCTTATTCTCAGTACCTGACCAAAATTAGAATGGCTCCCATTATGGGGAAGCCTCCGGAGAGCCTGCAATGGTGGCTGTTTATTGATCAGTCTTGGCTTCTCAGCTAATGTTGCAGGCCAAGATTTAGTGAGCCTCACCATCATGTTTAAAACCGCTCTAAAGTAGCACAGGTCAATAACCTCATTATACAGAACCAGTTTGTCCTTGCAAACAGCGTTACCATGACTTGGACTCTGTTTCTAAGGTCATCATTTTGTATCCCTCGTGCCTGGCCCAAGTTTCATTTCGCAGAAATTGTGTGTTTTCCTTACAGCTTACAAGGGACTTTCCTTTAAGGAAATTTAAAAACCAAGACCTGAACAATAATGTCCAAGCACTCGATGCTAGGAGACCCCAGTTTCTCTGTAGACATGCACATGCATTAATTCTGGAGCACATTGTTGCCACTGCTCAAATCGACAAAAATTATTTTCCATCTAATCCCAATCCCTTTGTTTGATACTAAATCACAGAGTTAGTTAAGTCTCAAAAACAGCAAATTTCAGTGTTTCTGTGGATACTAGAAGGGCAGGCCCGGTCAAGTTAACAAGTTTTAGCAAGTCATAAAATGGCCAAATGGAGAAGCAAGTAAGTTCCTTCTATCTTTATTTGGTTGATTCTGGAAAAAAAAATTTTTAGACCTTATGGTGCCTGTCTTTGAGCCAAGTTTTGCAACCAGTTGTTACCGATTACAAATGTAAATTTTTGTTTGACTTTTAAGGTCTTAATTGAAAGTCAGTAAGAAAAATCTTGGTTTTGTGGGGAGAGGTAGAATTTAACTGAAAACCCATGGCTATCCTACCACCTCTCCCATTGGATTTGAAGAACCAACATTTCAAATTAATAGGGAATTAAAAAGGCAAATTAAAAAGGCAAAAGTCCTTTAGGCATATGGGATGCAGAGAAATATTTGACTTGTTTGTAGCTTTTGATGCAGACTATGGCTTTGGAAATACTTGAATATTAGTTGGGTTTATAGTAGCCTGAAACATTACAAGCTCAAAAAACACACCATGACTGCATAACATGACATCCAGCAATATAAGACAGAAAGCCATGAAGGCTGTTTGAATCTAAGCATGGATCAAAAACTTCTTTCTTAAAGGTTAAGAATGATTTTTCTGAAGGGTGATCCCTTGCTCAGATGGTACATGAACAAAGCCCTTTTCAACCTTGAGTCTATATATCAAAATTTAAAAATTCTGCTATTCCTAATGCCTCTTCAACACTGAGCGTTTCAGATCTTGATGAAGGGAAAACAGTGTGAGTAACCTGCAGTACATTTTCATGGGAAAATTTGTCTTTGCTTGGAGTTTTGCAGGAGTTCTCAGTATTTAGAAATAACAATTATGATGAAAAAAGTTGATATTCTTAGAAAATGAAAAACCTCTCACGTTGTGTCTGTAAGATCCAGTGTTTAAATAGATAATTAGTAAGCCCACTGCTTGCAGACATTCTAATTAAGGACACATCAGAGTATGATTCTGTTTCTTATGAAATTGACTATCTATTGGCACCTCCACATTCTGCATCAGACATCCTGTCTGTTTGACTCCTACACTTGCCTCCCATGCTGAATTCCAACTGAGAGCTAAACTCATCGTTCCTATTTGATTTCTTCCTTTTTTCTCTGTTCTGTATTTTATCAACTTCTTAGGAGTTCTTCAGCTCTCAAAGATGGCATATTTCTGTTTTTTTAAAACCTGACTAATCACATTTCTTATTTATTGTGAGGACTTCATATTAAAAGGCATAAATACATCATGAGAAATTTCTATTAAAAACATAAATATACTGCTTTCTCTCAAGTGCCAAGAAATGGCCTGCAACAGTACAATTAAATATCTTTATTCTATTTGTTCATCCTCTTACTTCTCTGCCTCTTTTATTTCATTTAATTTGTATATTGTTCTTTCATCATAACTAAAGACATTGTTGAAGATCAACTGTGTAAGTCAAATTGTTTGAAAGTCCTAAAGTTCTGCCTTTGATAATAATATCTTATAATACCATTGATGTAATTGATTCTAAAACTGTTCATTTTTTCTCTTTTAACTATTTTTTAATAAATATAAAGGGAAGGGAATTCCACATACTATATACAGTTCTAAAAGCATGATAATTCTCGCTATACCCTCCCTCCTTCTGTACCATCCTTCCTCCTCCTTTTGAAATTTTTTAAGTCCAACAATGGCATATTTTCAGTTTTCTTTATAATTGAAAACTTAACCCACAGCTAAATAACAAGTTGTAAGTAGAAAAGCTACTATTGTTCATGGATAAACAAAAATTATAAGCAATAATCAAATCTCAAAGGTTAACTTTGCTTATGTATACTGCATTTTTTTGTGTGTGTGTGATCTCTATATTGGATACCACAAATCAGGGAAAACCTTTTGGTCTTTTTGGGATTGATTTTTTTTGACTAAGCATAATGGACTCTAGTTGTTTGTATCCTTTTTGTTATGAATGACAGGGTTTCCTTCTTTTTATGACTGAATGGTATTCCATAGTGTATATATGACACATTTTTCCTTTAGGTATCTTGGTTGATTCCATATCTTAGCTATTTGTGAGTCAAGCTGCTAGAAACGTGAGGGTACAGATAATTCTCCTATATGCTAGTTTCATTTCATTCATGTAAATTGCCAAGAGTGGGATGGCTAGATCATATGGTAAGGCTACCAACAGATTTCTGAAGAATCCCCGTGCTTGTTTCTCATAATGGGTTACACTAGTGTACATCCCCACCAATAGCATTTTACAGTTCCTTTTCCCTCACATCCTTGGCAGTGTTATTTTATTTTTTATTTTCCTGTGATAGCCATTGTAAAAAGACTGAGGTGAAACTTGATTATTGTTTTTATTTGTATTTCATTGTTTCAAAATTTTCTGTTACTGTCCTTTGCCCATTTAACTATAATGGTCTTGTTGTTGGGTTTCTGGAGCTCTTGTATATCTTGGATATTAATCTTCTATCAGTTGTGTAGTTTGGAACTATTTTCACCATTCTGTTGGGTTCCTCCTTATTTTGTTGAGTGATTTCCTTGATGTTCAGAATAATTGTCTTATCTTGATGTAATGCCATTTGTTGTTTTTTACTTTTATTGCCTTGCTTCTGGGGTCTTATCCAAGTAGTGTTTGCTTATGCCAATACCTTGTAGTACCTTGTAGTATCCCCTATATTTTTTTTCAGTAATGTAATGGCTTTGGGTCTTAAATGTAGATCAGTGATCTATTGTGATTTTTATACAGTGTAAGGTGCATATTGTTATATACTTCTGCATGTCATGATACACTGTGCTTTATCTGGGGAATGATTTAAACTTATTTCTCAAAGATTTTTTGGTTTCAGATGCATGGATTAATTTGGGGAGTCTCTATTCTATTGGTCTGTGTGTCTATTTTTGTGCTAGTACCAAGCTGTTTTGCTTGTACCTGTTCTATAATGCGTCTTGAAATCAAGCATTGTGATGACAACAGCTTATTGTTTGGGATTTCTTTCACTATTTGGGGTCTCCTATGATTTCAGGTGAATTTTAGAGCCATTTTTTTCCCGAAAATGAGCACATCTTTGATATTTTGATTGGTACCACATTGAATCTGTAAATTGCTTTGAGTTCCATCAAAATTTTGAAGATATTATTTCCTAATGATTACATTTATTTATTTTTGTGCTATCCATTGTAACATCTCCTTTTTCATCTCTGGTTTTACTAATTTTGAATTTCTCCCATTTATTGTTAGTTGTGTCAATGATATATTGGTTTTGCTCTTTTTTTTTTTTCCCCCAAAATCCAGGCCATCAATTCACTGGTCGTATGCATCATTTTTTAGCCTCAGATATGCTTATCTTTTATTTAGTCTTAATTAATTATTTTTTCCTACAAATATGGGGTTTTGTTTCTTCTTGTTTATCTAGGTTCTTCATATACACTTTTAGAATATTTCATTTATTTGATTCCTTTCAATTTCTTGATGTGGATGCTATTTACTATAAACTTGTCTCTTAACACGGCTTGTGCCGGGTCCCAAGTAGATTTAATATATTGCAATGCAATCTTCAGTTCTAGGATTTTTTTTAAATTTCCCTTTTGATCCTCTTCTATGACTCACTGTTCATTCAGGAGTGTATCTTTCATTCTCCATGTGTTTGCACATTCTGTAGAACTTCTTAAGTTGTTACTTTCCAGTTTCATTTCATTGTGGTCAAAGAGAGTCATAGCATGATTTC